GGGTCGGGGGGAGGATGTGAGGGGGGAGGGCTGGCATCACGCTGAGTTCCAGCTTGCCCAAGGATTCGGGATCCCAGGCCAAACACGTTTGGTCGCTGATTTTAAGAAGGGGATCAGAGGCAGAACTGCGGCCACGAACAAGATGAAGAGCACGCCATGGGACCGGGCCTAAAGGAAAAGGACCGTAAACATCTTGCCCCTCCTGCGGAGGTCAGATGCATTTTGTGCTATAAAAAGGATGCGTGTGCGTGTGTGTGTGTGTGTGTGTGTGTGTGTGTGTGTGTGTGTGTGTGTCTTTTAGGATAGATTTTATGAAGGACAGATGATACTTAATGAAATTGTAGCCAGTATCTGTTTATGCATACAGTTTTGTCTACTGCCTCATTTTTGTCAGCCCTTCAGAAGGCTGTGTCTGCCGCTGATGTTATATAAGTGGCACGGTTCACCATCAGCTATTTTAAAATGACTTTTGGGGTAAAGGGAACTTCCATCCGTCTTTTCAGACAAGCCCAAGGTGTAGACGGGTGAGGGTTCCTATGTTTGCCCCAGTCTTGCTCCAGATGTGTGAGCTCAGCTGTTGCCTGTCACTTAGGTGACAACTGGCCTTTTCCCACTAAGCCTTTGCTGTCTCCATTATCCTCAGTGAAGTGTCAATGTTCAACCGCCTTCTATTATCAGGAGTGGGCTCTAGCCCCTTGGGAGGCAGCAGCCTTGTTTGACCATCCCCAACAATATGTCTGTTTTCAGAGTCTAGGAAAGGAAAAAAAAAAAAATCCCATGACAGCAAGATAGATACATTTTGAATTGAGCATCAACTTAATCCAAAGATTCTACTTTAATCAAGACAGCTCTGTAAGGATGACGCAATATTTGACAAGCCTTTTCTCTGGAACAATATTTACTCCCACCAAGGAATTTTAAACTTAAACAGCAGCCATTTATCTTGCTGTCTGGTGGAGCCTGGTTCAGTTTGCCTCCAATGTGTGGTGGTAGCCTTGGTGGCTGGGCTTGGCCTGGGATAGGAATCTGTCATTGTAGCCCAGCTGGAGCCTGAGGAAAGCAAAATACAGCACCTGCTGGTACCAGAGGGTTTCTAAATGCTATCAACTGGCAAGTTAGGAAACATAGAAGGAGATATTTTACAAGCTCTTCTAGAAATGTTTATACAAAGGATTTAAAGGTAAACAATGCATGTACTCTACAAGTTAAAACTGAGAGGCGCTAGAAATAAATGGATGTTGCCCACAGCTAAGGGTTTGCACACTTGCTGATGAACTTGAAAGTCTCTAAGTTTAATAAGTCATCGCTAACACAGTGATTTGTTCTTATGAATAACCCTTAGAAGGTTTAAAAAAAAAGGGAGGAAGGAAGGGAGGAAGACAGGAAGGAAGGAAAAACTGGATGGTTCATGGAGATAGACATAGTGATGCAAGTGAATAGGTTTAGTAAATTAATTTTTCTACCCTTAAGTTGGTACTAATTGGTGATTTATCACTGAGTGAGACTGTTGGTTCATAAGTTTTTAAAAGAAAGGTGATATGTTTTACTAAAGTGACAGATTCAATCAGTTCTGCCAGGAATGCCAATGAAGCTTAAAAAGCTGATTATGCTTTTATAATCAAAATCCATGGAGCTACTCTTTTTGTTCAAGGGTGTTGGGGGGGTGGGGGGATAATGAGTCAGCTTGGCTCACCCAAATAAAACCTAATATCAGCTGGGGAGGAAAAGAGAACCCTCATATGGTTAATAGCTGAACTATTAAATTTAGAGTCAGATGTGGGTAAAAGTCTAGTTGTTCTAATATCCTCTTCTATGATAACTCTGAAAAGATCAAAACAGTTACATTTTGTAGTTTCTTTTATTAAAGATTTTTAAAAGTCAACTGAAATATAAATTTTAAAAGTGGTATCATAAAATAATTTATCTAAAATCTCTTATAAATACTTGAAGGTAAAATACAAGGGGTTGAATATTATGAGTGATTGTTTATAGTACTCATGAAATGTAACTTTAAAATATATTTTCCAGTAATTAAGAAATTCTTTTAATGGCCTATACCTATATTTTGGGTTACCTAATATTATGGGAAACAATTTTTAGTAAAGATTATCATTCTTCTATTTCTAGTTACTACAGTTAATTTCCTTCTTAAGCTACTTTGTAAAGAATACATTTTTTCTTTTAAAAAAGGAAAGGGCTCTGAGTGTGGTGGTGGTGCAAACCTGTAGTCTCAGCTACTCAGCAAACTGAGACAGAAGAATTGCTTCAGCCCAGAGGTTTTAGTCCAGCATGGGCAACATAGCAAGACCCCATCTCTGTAGGGGGGACAAAAGTAATTTTAAAAGCCTAAGTGGTTATCATGTGTGCATAGAAATGTTAAAAAGTCAAAGTGATTCTCCATAGGAGATGTCACCTGACTAGGATTGACTCCTCTTTCTTGAAAAAATAGCTCTTTTTTGTTCAGGTAAAATAATATCATTTGCTTAACTCTTATTAGTGAGAGAATATTATCATTGCTCAACTCCATGTATAATTATTCCACAATAAAAAGATGGAATTAGGAAAGTGAGTGAGTTGTGTTTCTTGATTGGTTGGTTGATTGGTTGGTGTTTTAAGGGACCATTACTTCTTTTTCTTCTGGTTGGTGTGAGCACACGAGTTGAGAGAGGGAAGTACAATAATCAGGATGCCAACTCCTGCATTGCTGCAGTTCCTCGAAACCTTGGGCAGCATGTGGAGCCAGCACTCCAGAAAGGAGTGCCAAGGACCAAGATGGTATCGAGGAAATGCAGCAGCTTCTGCCTTAGTATCGCCTCAATGCCCTCCCCACCAACCAGTAACCACACCTCCTTGTTTATGGCCATGCTGAGCTGAAGTCCAGGAGGGCAACTACAGTGTGTTGGAAAATGAACACTTTGGAGCAGTGAAAAAAAAAGCCTGGCCTGAAATTGCATGGAGAATCCAAGTAAGCCTTTGTTTCCCCCACTTCTCCTCTTTCCCGAAGGAGGGACGGTGGGAAGAGACGTGCTTTACACGTTGGAGCATGCTGATGTCATGACACTTCTGGCACAAAGATATGATAGGATAATCGGATCACTTTTCTGTATGCCAGAATGACACGATTTTTCCAAGAACTATTCCTAAGCTGCTGGTCCACTGGCACTGACTGTTTTCAGTTATGGGGGGGAGGAGGGGTGAGTGGGTAAGGGGATCAAAATTCTCAAAAAGAAGGTAATAATTCTTCCTGTGTCTCTGCTTTGTGCGCTTGTTTAGACTAAACTCTAAAGGCATTTTGGTCACTTTTGAAGGACCTTCTCCAGGAACAAGAATGATGGCCCAGCCTGAATTGATTAGACTTTTCCAGCTTCATTCTCCTATAAAAAGAGGTTTTTACATTTAAAATAAAATTTTAAATGCTGGCCAGGCAGAAGCCAATGTAAACATTTTAAAACTTGGAGCTGTAAACTGGCAAGCAGCTGTCATTTACCTTTACTTAACTTTCTTCCCCAACCCCCACACTTAAGTTTGGTCCTAAGTGAATCAACTGACCAATTCAACTGCAGATGCATTTTCCTTGCTGGAGATTTGGGGTAAACTCTTGGGAGAGATGCCTTTCATTTCTAGTGGATTACACTTCAGGAAAAAAGATGAGGACTGTGTTATTTCAGTTGTTCTGGTACTGAAGTCATGGACTCCTCCTTTCTAAGAATTTTGTCCCAGCTGCTGATTTATCGCGCCCACCAGCTTTTGCTTGCGTATGCCTCTCTGGGTCCTCCCTTTCTCATCAGGTCTCCGGAAGGAAAGATCTGTCAATAACACGGTGAAAACATTGCAGTTAGATGCAGACCTATAAGTGGACTCTTCCATGCTGTGTGCTCTTGCTCAGCTGCCCTTCTTTTATCTGAGGCACAGATCTGACGGCTTGCGATTATGGTCTTTGACTTTGGTAACAATTCTGTTTGAAATGTTTCCAATTACACACAATATTTGGCGGCATGTAGCAGCTGTGTGCCAAAAAGCATTTCGAAGTGTGTTCCAAGAATCAGGCTGTGATTGCTTTTAATTTAAATAAAGGCTATTTGGTTTCCTGTGATGTTTTTTATAACTACCCTCCCACACACCATTTTTGTTGCCCTTTAAAAAAAGGTCTAATATAAAGTAGCCACCACTTAATGTGAAATGATATTGACCCTAGTTTTCTAGGCTAGCCATTTGCTTTGAGCAAGCACACAAACGTTTTAATAAAGGAATTTTTAAAGAACATTGTGCAGCAGTTTGGATTTCCCCAAAGAAGAAAAGGGGATAAGGTTATCTGATAGCATATTATAAGTAGCTAATGTTTTCAGGTTTCTCCTCTCCTTCTTTAGGGACCTATCATTATAATTGTCTTTTTAGGTCACTGGAGATCATCTCATACACTGTCCTTTTTTCAGATCCCCCTATTTTTCTTTTCGTGGGTCCATGAAGAGGTGTTTAGTTAACAAACATTGTTAAAAGGTAGAGATCAACATGAATATTCTTTTAACAGGGGTTGGGGTGGACTGGGAGTGGGGTCTGGGGACTGGTAAATAATTTCACCATTTTGCAAGAAGCAAACCCTCCAGATCTGCCTTCTCTGTGGGCCTGAAATTTCTGAACACTGAAACCTTTTAAAACTGTGGCTGCTTAAATCTTTTAATAACTACCAAATAGATTTGACTTATTAAATCTGAAAATAAGAAAATATACACTCTCAGGACTGGGAGTGAATGGATTGGTAATAGGACTGGAGATTTCTGTTTCCAGGACAGTCTGTTGGCCCAACTGAAACATAACACCTAGAGCTAGAGGGCATCCAACAGGCGAGGTGCTAAGATGGTCCCAATTAAGGTGTTTTCACACAGGCTCTTTCAATCCTGGCAAAAACATCCTATAGAATATAGTGCTTCTTTGGGTTGAACAGTAGTTGACTTGCATAAATGCCAACATCTCTTCTGGCACTTTTGGAAACCTTCCATCATGTAATAAATAGTGCTGTATAATTCAAATTTGTAAATGCCATGTTTCATGTAGCCCCTGTAGAGACAGCTGAAATTAACCCAGGCTGCTAGGGATCACTGGGATCCTGGAGGTTAGGTTACTGCCTAGATCCAAAGCACTACCAGTAACTAAAGCCATTGGAGGCCTTGGATCAAAACTGGGAGAAAGTGTGAGGTTAATCTTAGTAGAGC